AGAGATCTTTTTTGTTGTTGTTGTTGTTCAAACTAAATCGATCCTGCAGCAATGACACAGGAAAGTCACCGCTACGCACGCTAGTTAAAGATTTGCGCGCCTGTACGATGACAGATTGACGTGCAGTATAGCAGTATAAATGCTTACACAACACCATAGTTCACAGAATATAAATGGCCTCCAAAAACAGAAATGTCAGCAGGGGTGAAATTCCTAGGTCCATCCGAGTGCGCCAATTGCATATTGCAAAGTTCAGATGACGGCGACCATTCTCTAGGAATGACTGAAACTTTCCCGCCAAAAGGCATTGGACAGGATTTGGGCGGATCGTGTATTATCATAACGTCAATTTACACTAGAAAGTAATGCATTCATTACAATTAATAGTTGTTAGTAATAAATATTCAGATGATAGCAGTAAATAAACATTTGAAAGAAAACATTTAAATGAAAGAAAATTCTAGATGCACCTGCAACCCATAACAGTGTCATCGTCTTCAGTGTCACCGCCCAAAAAGTGCAAATCTCCTTCACGAGTGCCGATTCCCTGCACACGCGGGAACGAATCACCGCCGCACGATACCATACTTCGATATGGCATACCATTCCAAACAACGCCTAATACAGCTGACACAACGTCATGCCGGCACTATCAGTGAAGACCGTATACACTCACGCGTTGTATTGGCTATAGTCGCCCCAGCGGGCGAGCTTTCGTGTCTAAGAGGCCATAAAGGCAGGTACGGAGGCCATGCATACAGCTAGGAGGCCATACAGGCAGGTCTGGCGTTACTCTCGTTGCCAGTCCTCACAAGCCCGTGTAGTTGTCACACTTCCTAACCTATAGCAAGCACGAAAAGAGCCATTTAATTAGAAGAGAAATGCCGCTCAGGCCTGCTCATGTTCTTTCAAACGTGTGGAGTGATCAGTTTTTGTTGCACGTGCTTTGAAAAATGTAACCAAAACACCCAGATCACCAGCTTTGCCACGACACGACCCCCCCCCCCCCCTCCCTTGGCTGTCTTCGCTCTAAGGTACAGGCGGTCAAGGACGTGGTTTGCCCAGCCGGCAAAATTTAATAGAAAACGTGGAAACAATGTGTAACTCCCGGACGCGGCGGCGTTTTTTGTGGCACAACAGACATGTGATTCGCGTATTATGTAGGTACACGTTTAGACTAAGCATTTATAAACACACGTAGCACGCACTTCTTGTTTTCGTCGCCTGTTGACCACCAGATTCGGCGGCGTCGTGTTGACTGGGTGTTGTTACACATTGCGCGCTTACAATAATGCACGGAAAAAGGAAAGAAAGAGGAGCACGTTAATGGGTGACTGCGAAAACTTCAATGGCAACTGGAGATTTGATTAAGGGGTGCCTTCACACGAGCACACGCAAAAAAATGATCATATAACAGGTTCATACGTATTACAGCCGATTCAGTATGTATTTCATGAATAAGGGTTACAGCATTGTTTCAAATAGTGTCACAAGCGCACATACTTTAGAGGCAGCATAATTTAAAAGCAGAGCATCTGAGCTGTCTGGCAGGATGCCTGTGCCAGTACCAGTGTATAACCGGCCGTCGCAAGTACCCAGGTGAAGTCCCTAAACCGGCATCAGAAGAAAGGTCCCTAAAGACCTTTCTTTCTAAAGACCTTTGGACTTTTCAGAAGAAAGGTCCCTAAGCCGGCATCAGAAGAACAGCCACCATCAGAAGAAAAGTATGCTACCAGAACAAAAAATAAATAAAAAAGCGAGCACACCGGCATCATATATACTTGAATGTTGTTATACAAGTTTACATCAAATATTAATAATAATAGTTGGCTGTTTTACGTCCCAACACTAATGTCTGATTAGGAAAGCCGTAGTGGAGTGCTGCGGAAATTTCCACAATATGGCAATATTTAACCCGCACGTAAATCTAAGTCACTACCTTCTATATATATATTGGTTCTATTCACTTCCCCTGTACATTCCTTGGCATTACTGTCTGTTAGATCTCATTAATATTGTGTTAAAACACGGAAAAACGAGCCCTTAGGTATACACTTCTTTCCCTTATATATATATATATATATATATATATATATATATATATATATATATATATATATATATATATATATATATATATATATATATATATATATATATATATATATATATATATATAGCAGGTCGTGATCTAAGTACACGGGTTTCAGTCATTTCGCCTTCAGGGTTGCCGTTTGGTGAACCTAAAAGGGAGCCAGATTTCAAGCTAAAAGGAGCCAAAGTCGCCACTCCATTCCATGTCTTCGTCAAATTTGCAGCCAAATAGCAAAGAAGCAATATTATGAGTGCAGCTTTCCTCAGTGTACAATAATTACCACCTTTTCAACAAGCAAGTGCTTAGAAGCAAGAGCATTCAGTCTTTTTTTCACACTCGTTTAGTCTTCAACTTACCAATAAATTGGAATAAGTTAAAATAAAATCAGTGCGCGTCTACATAGCTTATGTAAAATAGATACAATTCTTGCCAGATACAGAGTCGAAAAAAAAAAAAACAGCAGAGCAGGTAAACGTGGCACTCCACCTCCTCGTCATTGTGAATTTACCGTGCTTCTAAAAATTTTTCCGGCAAAACCAATCGTGGATCTCTTTTTTCCACTCATCGACAATGTATAAAATTTTGAAAGAAATTGAAGAAGTCAACTGGCCATGCTTTGTTCGATCTTACGTGGAAACGCGAACGTATATTTGAAATTCGCTTACTTGTGGAGTGAACGAGTCTTTCTTCATAGCATACACCATACCACTCTTGATTGATTGATATGTGGGGTTTAACGTCCCAAAACCACCATATGATTATGAGAGACGCCGTGGTGTAGGGCTCCGGAAATTTCGACCACCTGGGGTTTCTTTAACGAGCACCCAAATCTGAGCACACGGGCTTACAGCATTTCCGCCTCCATCGGAAATGCAGCCACCATACCACTCTTGGCAGATCACCTCTCCAAAAAACAGTCCCTTTTCTTTTTCATGACGTTCACCATCCCACTCTTGAAAGAGGGATGCTCCGAGAAGAGTTGTTGGTGACCCGGGAAGCCCCACCAATGCCCAGGGCCGGGTGCCGAGGCCGGTAGTCCGGCACAATTGCGCCTTCGCGGATGAGCTTTCATTAGCGACAACGGCAAGCTCCCCGCCGGGCCCCATCGTTTGTCTCACTGAGTGACTGAGCCGTCCAGCGGGAAATCGCCAGTGAACTTCCGTCTGAAGGCTATACCATTACCCAGCCCTGTGAGCGCCGTCGACGAGATCATAAATTTTTTGCCGCGGCCTGCTTATAGAGGCAGCACCCTTTCAAGCGCGCTCGAGTGAGTGGTGACTTAAAGCCCGAGCTCGAAAACAAAAATAAAACAGGCAGCGGACAGGTCAAGTCTCGTCGAGGCTTGGTCTCACTAACGGCACAAGTTCAAGAAACCTACAGCCAACACAAATTTATTTAGTTGTTTATTTATTACGATACCCTGACAATTATTATTATTGTCCCACTTAGCTTTTAGGCACTTTTTTTTTCACAGCTATAGTACAACTCAACAGACTTATTTTCCTGCTACGTGTATACGAATGTTAATGACTGTTATCCCACTCTTATTGTTGTTATATTGCAACCTATATAAGCGTTCCACAGTCAGGTGATTCAGCATCGTCCACTAAACTTTTATACGCCGAGAAGACAACCACGTAGCGTCCATTCAAGTACAAATGTCACCTTGATTTGATTGATTTGAAGTATTTCAGTATTGGCCAATTGTGCAATTTTCGTCCAACCACAACAGTAGCGGAGCTTATCCTTTTTTCGGGGGAGGGTTCAACGACTATTTTATTTAGTTTATTTGGTGACCCGAGCAGCCCCCTCCCCCCCCCCCCAGTGTTGTACCCTGACAAAGGTTTTCTTTATGTTCGTTTATGTCCATCCGTACGTTCGTATGTGTCGCTGTATATAGCCAAATTCACAATAAAAGTACTTAAAAAATAGTGCTCTATTTTATGGTGTCGCCAAAATTTACACAATTTGAGGCGAGTCCGATTTCAAGCAATATTCGATAATTATGACTTGTCTATTGTATTTATTTACCGGTCTGCACGCACAGATTTGACGTATCGCTCGGGACTTGAATGTAACGAGCACGCAGGAAATTCAAGCCGGTTCGGAGACAAAATAAGCCCCAAAGGGCGCAAACGCCTTTAAGCACCGTCGGAGAAACTTCTTTTTAAAGAAAGATTTGTACAGATGGGTTAACATCCCTCACCCTCCCTAGTGTCGGAGAAACGTGCGGTAGCAGAGCTTGCCCCACGACACGAAGAGCCACATATACCCCTGGCTTCGCGGGCTTCTTCCGCCATCTATCGGCGTTTCAACGATGCTCACTAGCCCTCAGAGATTGGGCGCCGACGCACAATTCGCAACACTCGACAGCTGCTGGAGTAGCCGATACGATTTGCATCACGCCAAAGCGGGGCCCTCACAATGACATATAGTAAGTCATAGCGGATATACTTAGCGCGCTCAAACACGCTCACATTCATACACGCATACACTGGAGAAGCGTCCTTGCCGAGTGGATGCATGTGCGCGTGTTCTTCATTATGAGGACAGATGACTTACCAACCGGCTCAAGTACCGATAGGTGTAACAACCATGTGGCTGAGGTGGGGCAGGAGCATTTAGTCCCCCCCCCACCCTACCCCCCCCCAAAAAAAATCTTATTTTCGTACGACGTAAGTATGAGATACACGCGCACACATACACACTGCATAAATGGCTCAACTCACCAGCCCCTTCCCCTCCTCTTAGTTAAAAAAAAAAAAACACCTACACACAGAGGGCCTTCGAATTCATTTCAACCACTTGGGGTCTTATGCGGGTTCTTTAACCCCTTCAGGCGCAACGTCCACATTTGTGGACGCCAAGTTCACACCTAGGTGTTTCGAAAAGAGGTCTTGAATCTCGCGCGCAAACAATGCTCCCGCAACCTCTGCATCTTGCTGCAAGGACGCGTGGCGCCATCTCTTGCACCTGGTTCAAAATAACATCGTAAACAAAAGTCAAAATGGACGCCTCCACTTTCTATGGCGGGACGCGTAAGTGGCTCTGATGTTTTTATCGTTTACTTCGTACCTTTTTAGCTGGCGTGAAATTTTGCATTTGTCAGTAATAACTAAGATATCCCGCATGACTTTTAACAATATTTTGGCAATAGGAAATCATTTGTAATGACAGAAAGGTTCAGCTAAATTTCGCGTCCACGAACGTGGACACTGCGCTTCAGTGCCTCCTTTGTTGAAAGGCTGCTATTTCTCTGTGTTTCACTTCCGGCAGCATCAAATGATGTTTACGTTATTAATTTTTGTCACCAGGAGTTCAAGATCATGCATCGAGACGACAAAAAGTTGACGGTGAAACAGCAGAAGACGTCCTTAAAAAATAGCCAATGGAGATGTTTCCGATGGAGACATTTCGGACGACGAAAAGGAGGAAGAAAATGAAGAGAACACAAAATTACGTTTTGTTTGAAAAACCATTAGCCTTTTACTTAAGATCCTGCCGCCCGGTTCTTGGCCGATCCCCCTTTGTGGGTGTGCGCCAAATTATCAAGGATCATCATCATCATCATCATCATCATCATCATCAGCTGAGCGTCAACAATCCCCAGAAAAAGCGTGGGCGACCAAGCAGTGTGAACCCCCAGGTGATGAAAAGGAAGGCACCCAATGCGTCACTCCTGCCAGTGAGCACTCTTCGCTATGACGGCATCCAGCACTGGCCACAGCAAATGAACATACCCAACGCACAACGCTGCAGGAGGGATGGATGCTCATCCAAGAGCCGCGTCCGCTGCAGGAAGTGTGACATTTTTCTTTGCCTGACATCGCAGAATGACTGCTTCTACCTCTTTCACACTAAATAGACTTTTTCTGGTAACTTCTCTCAACATTACTTTGAAAGAAGTTATTTTGAATTTAAATGGAAAGCGTGTTTTCTTCTTTGTCGCTTTTCACTAATATTACTGCTTTGAGGCGCAATGTCCACAAATGTGGACGCTGAGCAAAAATTGAACCAATAAACATATTTTGCATTTGTTTCGAGTTTCTTACTTTAAAAGGCTTAAATATTGAAATTATGAACAAAAAAAATTTTTCACGTTGCCAGATTTAATTCGCGCCTGAAGGGGTTAAGGTGCACCTAACTACACGGGCGTTCTTGCATTCCGCCCCCATCAAAACGCGGCGGCCGGGGCCGCGAATCGAAAACGCGGCGGCCTCAGGCTGAACCAACGCCTCCTCTAGAAAGATGCCTGAAGAATGGCTCGCGCTCCCAGCGGAGTCGGCCTGCCTTCAGTTCTAAACAAGCTCCGCGCGGTGGCGCTCGCGACCAACACTATCATCACGGCAACGGGCGACACCAGCCTTAAGAGTTTCTCAAAATTAACTAGAGGACACTCTGGCGCTACGATCATTCAGCGACCATGGGAATGATGGGTAGTACACACATTTGCCTAGTCTTCGTACTTGCGGGCGGCGAATCGTACTTGCGGCTCTGTTTATTGCTGTGTTTCGGTTTTGTTTTGAAAGAAAGATTGAACCCTTTTGAACTTCGTGAGCCAATTTGGAAAGTAAGTCTAAAAAAATAAAATGGTGAAGCGCAACCGCTGAACATTTACTAATACTTGTTTTGTAAGAAAACAGCTCTAAGCCACACGAACACACACGGAGCCAAAAGCAGGCCAGAAGTACTAATATTAGACAAATGTGTGTACTACCCATCATTCCCATGCTCGCTGAAGCGCCGTGCGTTGTAGCTCCCATAGACACTAGCGCCAGAGTTCTCTCTAGTAAGTATTGTGGGAAACTCTATGGTACCAGCTAAGCGTTTTTTATCTGCGGCCCATAGGGGCGCGTCAGTCGAGAGCTGTTCGAGACCTGCAACTGTGCACCACTGTTTCGGAGGCTATGCAAAGTGTTGCGTTGTTGCACCGTTCGCCACAAGTGACGCTAGCGACCGAGGTTCAAAATGAAGGAGAAAGGGTGTGGCAGCTGTTTTTTTCTCATGCAGCAGGCATCTTCCTAGAGGAGGCGTTGGCTGAACAGTGCAACTTGCTAACATGTGGCGGGTATACCATCTACAGCCTGAGCATTCAGCGGCATACCCGGCAACTCAAATCCGAATCATGTGTGACCACATTTCTCCAGGGACTCCAATCAACTGCGCAATAGATGGCAGAATCACACTTGCCAGTAGCAAGCATGTCAAGTTCGGTTCATTTCGATTTTAAACATTTTCTGCATTATCATTATGGCTCCTCTTACATGAGCACATTGCAGTGGCTCATATAAATATATGCACGCCTGCATAGATAGAGCTATTTGTTTACTGATACCTTGGAATATTATGCGACATGGGTTGAACAGAAAAAAAATTCTGGGATATCTCGCTTCAGTCTGCGATGGTTCAACGCAGTGCATTCCTCCTTGCACACGTGCAAACAGATTGCACCAAGATATATTTACTGGAAACAATATGTGCAATGTCAAACCACTTTTATGCATTGCATAATCATGTTGACGCTTAATTTTGGGGGCAGTGAATCACCACAATTACCAGTGCACAGCAATCTGGTTTGCCTTGATGAGAATGCCAGCAGCACCAACAGAAAGCTGTTCTAAGCACCCTCCCAGCACCAATCTCTTTTCTTGTCTGGGTTGCCCCCAACTTGCCCAACAACTTACTAACTTGCCCAATAAGCCACCCAAATAAAACTTGGTTTCCATTTTACATCATGAAGTTTATAACTGAACAGATATATAATTACATTTCGCCAGTGGTATATCTCGGTTTTGATGAATCTTTTCACCCTTAAAAGAGAAATTACATTTTGCATGAATACGCAGTTCCTGCTTTACAACTTTTTTTTTCCTCTAACCATGTTAATTTCATTTTTATTATACTCATTGGCAGGTGTTTATGTAATGTAATGCACTACATGAGTTATGATGTGACAAAGCAGTATTCCTAGTGCACCTGGCTGGTTTAGGACCCAGTCAAATAGCTAAATACCTTGAGCCCCACTTTGTAGATAATACATATTTGGAAAAAAATTATTCATGGCCGACAGCACAATTTTATTGTAGAGCTAGCTCTCAGAGATGGTTATTATATGCAAAAAAAATTTTTGCAGATAGTAATCTTGTTAAACTTACGCAGAAATCGACAGGTGAAAATTGTCAATGAGCACTGCACAACAGCAACTCAACGTCAACGACATTCCATCAGTGCTATGAAAATGCATTAAGCATGTTTGATGCAGCATTTGTTTCAGGGAGGACACAAGTCTTAAAGCTCTTATTTGTTGTTTTTTAACCAAAGTTGAAAACAGTTTTCAAGCATATTTAGTTTTGTCTCTCGATGCTGAATATGTACTTTTTTTTCTGTGGGTTCATTACTAACCTCAATTTTTCATCCTGATTTGTATAGTTATTTTTGCCATAAGTTCATTATTCCATTATATAATTAAGAACAGAATATATTTTCTCACTACATCAGACAAATACACACCTGACAAAGATATGCAAATTACATATGCATCAATAGAAGAAAGTTCAAGATTCCCAACAAAGGAAGCACTTTTATGATTGCATGATTATTTCTAACTTCATAGTACATCAAACTCCATTGTTTAGAACATGGACACGCAGTGGTTGATCAAAAAGGCAAATTCTAAAAAAACTTTATACCAAAATAAATAAAAGGTGCTATGTTGCGTGCTCCGAACCCTCAGGTTCATGCTGCAAAAAGGATTTTTGTTCAATCTGTGGATAGCCGCTGATATGTACCATGAAATGCTAAGGAAGCACCCCTCTCCCCTTTTTGAGGGCATCAGAAATAAGCATCTATGCAAGCCACACACCCCATGCACCCCTTCTCTCCAATGGACACTTCTTTTTCAAGATGTGCATCGCTAGTGTAAAAAATAAGGGAACCCGAAAGCTTTCCCTTTGAGAGTTGAATGCGATATCAATGTCCTTTCCCTAGCACGTACTTCAAACACTTCGTGCATGAAACGTTTACGAACTTGCCACGTGTCCCGCCGCGGTGGTGTAGTTGCTAAGGTATTGGCTGCTGACCCGCAGGTAGCGGGATCGAATTCCGGCTGTGGCGGCTGCATGTCCGATGCAGGCAGCAATGTTGTAGGCCTGTGTGCTCAGATTTGGGTGCATGTTAAAGAACCCCAGGTGGTCGAAATTTCCGGAGCCCTCCGCTACGGCGTCTCTCATAATTATATCATGGTTCTGGGTCGTTAAACCACACAAATCAATCAATAAATGAACTTGCCATGCACCCACTACGTGGCCTTAAGGGAATAGGTGCAGTAGCATATGTGCCTTTTGTAATGTATGACCGGCTTTTAACCACGAAGTCATTATGATAATCACATGTTCCGACACCCAATGGCACTGGGCACTTGTTTCATGCTGCTGTAACCCATTGAACGACGCGACCCAAGCTCTCAAGTGCGCATGTGCACAATCTTATCCCCCTTCCCTCTCCCCCTTAGTTTCCTATATATATTCACGAGTGTGAATAAAACTGGCTGTTCTTTTCTGTTGGCATGGTCCGACTGTCACGTTTACTGCTGGAGCGGCGTGGCCGCCTCCCAACAAACAGTGGCGACGAGAATACCCACCGATACGTGTAAGCCGGGCGCCAGCGGCGAGACCAAGACGAAGACGCCCATCAGCCCGCCCGCAGCCATGGCCCTCAAGCTTCCGGATTTTGCAGAGGAGACAGATAAGTGGCAAGCGTATCTCGTTAAGATTGACGCCTACTTCGAAGCGAACGAAGTTACGGACGACGCGAAGAAAAGGGCCTTGTTGGTGGCTGCGTTAGGATCGAGGACCGTTGAAATCCTTTGCGGCAGAATCGCACCGCGAAAACCAAGCTCGCTGAGTTACGAAGAAGTTGTTTCAACCTTGAACGAGCACTATGATCCGTCCCCTAACGAGATATCAGAAAGCTTCAAGTTCTTTCACCGAAACCAACAAGAAGGGGAGTCCGTGCAGGCGTTTATCGTCGAGATTCGCAAGCTAGCGCATAACTGCAACTTCTCTTCAATGTTGGAGCGAATGCTGAGGGACCGCATCGTTTGTGGAGTGCGCTCGAAAAACCTGCAGAAACAACTTTTAGCCAAAAAGGACTTGACGCTGGCAGAAGCGGAAGCACTAGCTCTAGCAGCCGAAAGCGCGGAGTTAGGGTCGCAACAGATGACCGGGCAAGGTGACGCCGTTGGGGTGTTCAACGTGCAGCGTAGCAGGCAACCCGAAATCAGCAGGAGCGAACGGAGCAGCTTATCGCAGCACTGCAGCTGCTGTGGCAAACAGGGACATCAAGCCAGGGAATGCTCATTACGACGGCGCAGGTGCTACAAATGTGGGCGACAAGGTCACTTGGCGCGAGTATGCTCCCGGACAGCCACCACCAACAGAACCTTCGCGATAACAGAGTGTTCAGCGGAAAGTGAAGATAACGATTGTAACGCACTACAAATATGGTCAGTGAAGGGTAATGGAAGCCTGGTTCCGCCCCTACACAAGCAGGTTACATGGAACGGAGTGCCACTGAATATGATAATCGACACAGGTTCACCTGTCTGCGTAGTGCCTAAAGCGATATACGAAGCCTATCGTCATAAGTGGCCACCGCTTTGTAAAGCTGCATTAACTCTGTCATGCTATCTTGGGAAGATACCAGTGCGGGGCATTGTCAAAATGCAAGCTTCCTACAAGTCTGCAACAGTTGACTGCGATCTCGTTGTGTTAGACTGCGAAGGTCCTAGCCTTTGCGGCCGTGACCTGTTACAGATGCTCGAGACACAAGGGGCACCGCTTCTTCACATCGCGTCACTCTCATCGGACGGGAAGCTGGAGAGTCGGACAGCGGCACCCGTGCTGGAACAGTACGCAGACCTTTTTGCGGAGGGCCTGGGAGCCATCAAGGGACCACCAGCACGGCTTCATATAAAGGACGGAGCAACCCCAAGGTTCTGTAAGGCAAGAAAAATTCCATTTTCTTTGCTAGACAAAGTG